GAGGCACAGACTGGCTGCGGCCCAGCCCGCCGGCACCCACGGTACCTTGACCTTGGGCAAGTCCCTGGGCTCTGGGGATCCGAGCCAGAGACCCCGGGGCCCAGCGCCTCCTGGTAGATGAGAGAACCCTATGGCCCAGAGAGGTCGCTGGGGAGTGCGCAGTCTCAGTCTCCAGACCCTAGCCAGGGGCCCTCTCCTCAGGGGACATGTTCATCTCACCACTCTACCCCCAAAGGCAGTTCCCAGAGACTTAGCAAAGAAGGGAGAAAACGCTAACAAACAATAAGCATATGTGAGTTTTTTTAAAAAAAAACTCATCAAAAATCAGAATCTTGCAAATTAAAACAACAATAACTATACCTTCCACTACCCCCAACACACCCAGATTGGCAAAAATGTAAAAGACAGACACCAGCCAGTGTTGGCTATGGGTTGGAATATAGGGAGACAGGCATTCACACTGCAACTGTGAATTGCTACATCCTTTTTGGAAAGTAATTTGGCAGTATCTACTAAAATTAAAGATGTTCGGACTCCATGACCCAGCAGTCCCACTTCTAGGAATCCAGCCTCTAGAAAGGACAGTCTCATTTCTCTTTGCAGACAGACTGAGAGATGTGCAGCGGGAAAAACAAACCTGGATATAACGCGATGCCCATCACTTGGAGACTGGCCGGGGTAGGAAGGCATGTCCCCGGTGCGGAATATTATGCAGCTATTACAAAGAGCTAATTGGAGCTTGTGTGGTTAATGTCCATCATACGTTGCTTCATGAATAAAGCAAGAAAGGCAGAAACCCTTATCTATGTGTATATTTAACAAAATCACTCCAGGACTGCACAGTGAGCTCTGTGGGCAGCAAGGTGGCCACTGGGCTGCTGCTGGGGAAGACTGGCCATAAGCAAGCAGCCAGGTGAAGGAAATAACAGGAGATGGGAGGAGCCGGCTGCCACTGGGGGCAGGGCAGAGCGGAGCCCTCCAGTGTACTCAGCGCTCTGAGGAATAGGCACTGGAGCTAAGACCCAAAGGCCGAGCAGATGGGTCCACCTCTGCCTATGTGCTCATCAAAGGTGTAGAGTCTCGCTTGGCTGGCCCTGGTTACCGCAGAGGGGACTTCTGCCTCTTCCCTGGCTCACCTTAGCATGCTTTGACCTGTTCCCAGTCAGCGTTTTTTCAGACCCATAAAACAAACCAAGGTAAAAAGGCAAATGGCCCAGGCTGGCCAGACAGCAGGTGTCCCTTAAGCCTGGAATTCCTGCACTCTGTGCCCCCTGCAGCCCCTTCCCCCAATTTTAGAAATATCTGCAGCTGCCCTCCCCACCTCCCACCCCCAAAGGCCTGATGGGCTCAAGTTTCTGTTTCCAGATATGAGAGCTGCTGGGCTTTCAGAAGCTGGGGCGGAGGGAGGGTGTACTCAGGGCTTCCTCTTTGTCTTCAGCTTCTGCAGCTTCTCAGAAGGCCACCCTCCCCGCCTTACCCTCAGGCAGCCAAGGGCGTGACCCTCTTGGGGGCGGGGAGGGAAGGACCCCCGTTCCCTTCTCCCTCCACAAGCAAGGTCCACACTGGAGAGGTGAGGTCCAGAGGCTTGGGGCTGCCCTGCCCAGGGTCAGGCCCTGGGGATGCTCCTGCCTGGGGCTCCGGCAATCCTCTGCCTTCTGAGATGGATGTGTTGTCCCCATTTTGCAGATAAGCAAAAGGAAGATCAGAAGGTGGGTGACAGAGGGGCTGGGTCAGAGGTCTGGCAATCGCTCAGTGATCCTGGAGTGCCTGGCCCTGTGCTGACCTGACCCCCAAGGCTCACACTGGGTTCCCCTGGCGGGCTAACCCTGGGCTGGACGCAGACCGACAGTGCAAGTGGTCAGCAGCTGTGATGGGGGAAAGGAGGGGCACTTTGAGGCCTTTAGACTCAGGTGTCAGGGTGAGATCCCCACCAGACAGGGGCTGCTTGGGAGCCGGTGTGGTCCCAGAGCAAGGAGGGTGGTGCTGGAGGGTGCCAGCCTCCACCTCAGCCAGAAGAACACTGCCCCCAGCTGACCTAGCCCTCGTCTGTGGACCCTCCACTTTTCTTTCCCCGGGGGCCACAGGAGCCGGTTTGGCAGCGTCCGGGCGAGAAGCTGGGTGACATCATCAGGCCAGTTTATGGTCCTGGTTCCTCAGATATTCCTGGTTACATATTAACCACCCGGCCCTGGAGGGGGCGGGGAGCCTCAAAAGAGTCACTGGCCTTTCATCCACAGAACACGGCCCCGCTCAGTGGGGTAGGTGCAGGGCCAGGCAGGCAGAGGTGGGCCAGGTGGGAGGGCAGGGCCAGGCTCCAGGCAGGGAAGCAGAGGCCATCCTTGGAGTCTGTGCTCAGAATGCAGCCAGGGTGGGCATTGCTTCCTCCTGGTGCCCTGTCCCTGAGCTCTGCAGAACCCAAAGGGGAAGCTGGTTGGGGTCAGGGAGGGGTAGGGGCTGCCTTGTGTCACAGAGCACGGTGGGATAGGAGGCTGGGCTGGTCAGAGGATGGGACCTTGGGTCACCTGATTCCTGCCAGGGATGCTGGCAGAGCAGCCTCCCTCAGTGGGCATCCTCAGCTTCTCCCTTTCCTCCAGGGCAACTCTAACGCTTTTCTCAGGGGTGTCCTTCCCGCCTCTTCCCACCTTTCTTCAAATCTGCCCTTGGTTCTCTGGAGCCAGGTTTACCAGCTTTAAATCCCAACCCCACTTTGGCCACATTGCCTGTGTGACCTTAGGCAAGCTACTTAACCTCTCTGAATCTGAGTTTCCCCATCAGTAAAGTGGTTCCTCCCTCATAGGATTGTGGGGAGGATTCAATGTGATGACACTTAGCTGGGCTTATATAGCATCAGTTCCTGTTAGGGGAGCCCTATATACAAACTCTGTCCTGGGCAAGGTGCCCACTCTACCTGGGTAATCAGCTGGGGCCTGGGAGAGGCCAGTGCTTGAGAACTCAGACTGAGGGCTGGGGCACGCTCCGATGGAATGGATAGGCAGCTCTAGGAAGGCTGCCTGGAGGAGGAAGCACTGGAGGAGCTGGCCAGCCAGTCATGGACAGAGAGACAAGTGGGAAGTTGGGACCACAGGAAACCACCGCCAAGTCACCGATTCCTAATTTAGGCTCTTAGTAAGCACCCAGCCTCAGCTCCACAGCGCAGCTGAGGGGCTGGGGAAGAGGAACCCCAGAAGTGGAAAGTTGAGACCTTCCTGAGGAGCAGTTAGGGGGTAATTCAGGTGGGTGCATCACACAGGGGTGAAGCAAAGTCACCTGGAACAGAGGTTGGCAAGCCAAGGATGGGGCTGGGTTGTCTCAAGGTTGAGTCCAAGAGGCTGGAAGGCCATGATGTAGCCACAGAGGGAGCTGGTGGCCAGAGCGCTGGCCCCACAGGAACATGAACCCACAGAGAGTAAGGCCACCAAAGGCCCCTCACCTTCTTACCCTGGGGGCTCCCAGACCCAGGCCCAGCAGGGCAGGGGCATGGAGGGGGCTGAGGTTAGGCACCTGGGTTTCCACCATTGACTCTGAGGGGCCCATGGCAAAGGCTACAGACACCCTGGCCAGTCCTGGCCCCAGAGGAGGGAGAGTTCAGAGTGCTCCACAGGCTGGCAGGGCTCCGGGAAAGGGCTGGCTCTCCTGGGCCTGGCCATTCCCACTTTGCCAGGCTGGAGCAGCCTGGGCCTGGGAAGAGTGGCCTAGGGTCGCTAGCTGGTTCTGGATTAGGGCCCGGGCTAAGCCCCAGGGTAGCTGAGTGCGCTGGGAGGCTCTCTATCCCTTTCCAGTCCCCAGGGCTAATAGGACAAGCCCTGGTCACAGGGAGCTGAGTGCTAGAGGAAGACCAATCCGTGTCCCCTGCCCCCTCCCCCGCAACACTCCACAGAGGAGGCAGCTCTGAATCAGCCCTGCTGAAACAGGACAGGGCTGCAGCTTCCCTTTTCTGCCCCTGTCCTCCAGCTGCCCCTCCCCCAGTCCCCTGCTCAGGCCGCTGGCCCTGTCCTCACTGACCCCAAAGTGAGCCCAGTTCATCCAGCTCTCCTGCCCTGGGTCCCAAGAGGGGACAGAAGACCTCCTCCCTCCTTGGAGCAGCTTCCGCACTCCGGAGAATGTGCCCCTGCAGGGGAGGCAGGCCAGGGAGAGGCAGACCCTTCCAGACGACCATCTCCTGCACCTCTGGGACGACCTTCTGACCTGCGATTCCATTTGCTGGAATTCATCCTGGGGCCCAGTCAAGGGTATTCCCAGAGCGGTTTGCAGTGACAAAACGTCCACGGCAAAGTGTCCTCATAGGGGACTGGGCAGCTAGCCGGGGGCCGGCCATCCCGGGGACTCCAGGGCTGTGAAAGCGTGCGGCACGGGACCCTGGGGCGGTCCCAGCCGGCACTACCCGGCTGACTGTCTTTTTCAGTTTGTCTTCTGCATGAGCTTGTATAAACTGGAAAGCGGGTTAGACAAGGAGGCGGCCAGGCGGCGCGCCCCGGGGGCCGGGAGGGGCCGTCCGCGGGTCCCGGGATCCCGCGCGCGAGCGGCGGCACGCCGTGACGTCATCGGCAGGCGCCGTGGCCCGGCTGGAGCCGGAAGTGCTGTGGCCGCCGTGGCGGAGCCACGTGCGGAGCCTACGCGAGCGGGAGCCGGCAGAGCGTCGCCGGTGAGACTCCGCGGGGCCACGGTGGCAGTGGACGGGTGGGGTCGCCCGGCGGGCGCGGCGCTTCCCTCCAGCCTGCCGTGGGCCGCCCCCACCCGGTGCCAGCCTGGCCTGACCCGCCCCCTGCCCCTGCCGGGCCAGTGTGTCCGTTTACGGCCCGCTGCGCGTCCCCAGCCTCTGCTTGGAGGGCCCTTACATCTCCTGCATCCCTCTACCACCCGTCCGCCCAGAATCCCTCCTTGGGGGAGATCGGGGAGAGGGGGGTTCCGCGGAATCGAGCCTGACCCGAAGATGACCTCACGGACCATTTGCTGCTTCCCCGCTGGTGGCCGTTCCCTCATCTCACATTTGGAGAATGGGAGCCGGGGTCCTGGAGAAGGGTGATGAGGGTGTTAGGTCCTTTGTGGGAGTCCTTGGGCCCATCCTCTGCCATTAACCGGCCTGAGTCTCTCCATCTGTGATTTGGGGTGATGGCTTTTGTCTCATGACTGAGACCAAGAAGGGCTTCAAAGGTCGGGCCAGGGTGCGGCCCTATTGGGCTGCCCTGTTGGACAGTGCCAGGGGCTGAGCCAGCCACCCCACCCCCACAGCTCAGGATCTGGGCCTCAGAGCCTTCTTACCTGGACCCCAGGTGCACATCCTTTCTTCTGGCGCCCTTACATACTCATGCCCATGCACCTCCTCCCAGGTCCCAGGCACCTGCTAGACAGCAACACTATGAGCTTCGTGGCGTACGAGGAGCTGATCAAAGAGGGTGACACGGCCATCCTGTCACTGGGCCATGGTGCAATGGTGGCAGTGCGCGTGCAGCGCGGGGCACAGACCCAGACCCGGCACGGCGTCCTGCGACACTCAGTAGACCTCATTGGCCGCCCCTTTGGCTCCAAGGTGACTTGTGGCCGAGGTGGCTGGGTGTACGTGCTGCACCCCACACCGGAGCTCTGGACACTGAACCTGCCGCACCGCACCCAGATCCTCTACTCCACCGACATTGCCCTGCTCACTATGATGCTGGAGCTTCGGCCTGGCTCTGTGGTCTGTGAATCCGGTGAGTTCTTCAGGCTGCCTCAGTTCTAACTCTGAGACATTGACACAAAGGTGAGGTCAGACCTAACATCCAGACAGCGTCTGGCCTGCTCTTCCTGCAGATAGGCATGGCTACTCAGCTTCTGTTTCAACAGGATCTTTCTGGGAGGCTGTCTGTAGGGAGTGAGGGCAGAAGCAAGGAAGCCAGGTAGGAGCCTGGTGCTGTCATCTGAGTGAGAGTTGATGGGACTGGACCAAGGATAGCCTCCCCAGGCCAGGAGCTGGTGCCCAGTGAGGGTCTTGCCTGCCTTGGTGGGGCCAGAGTGCCACTGGGCGCTGACCGAGGTGCTGACTGCCAGTCCCTAACCCTGTGCTGATAGAGGGGCGGAGGGTGCCTGACCTAGCAGTCCCTGACTGCTGTGAATGGGAGCCCCAGGCCCAGGGCTAAGAGTTGCCCCTTCTTGGAGGGAGGCCAGGGCTGCTCCAGGGTTCTCATTGTAGGTGGGGAGCCTGCCTGTGTTCATCCCTGGCCAGCACTATTGTCGCTGAGCCCAGGGCCTGGGGTGCAGGTGGAAGTGCCTGAAGGCCAGCCATTCCCAGCCCTTCCACACACTCACGCACACTCACACACACATACACGCGGGTGCTGGGGCCACCTGGGGTGGAGAATGCAGCATGCAGCCTGGCAAAGAACAGCCCAGACCCAGATGCACCTAGATTTCCAGCATGTTCCTCATGGCCTGAGCAGCTGGGCTCTGGGGTCACAAAGAGTTCCCAACACCACTGCTACCAACTTTCTGAAGGCTTCAGGCCATCCTTTCCCTCTCTGGGCCTCAGTTTCTCCATGTGGACAATTGGATGGTTCCTGTTGCCCAGTCAAGCACTTTGAAATGGGAAGAGTCAGATACAGAACCTGGGCTGTGGGTCACAGAGTGGGTAGGGGCTGGGCAGAGCTGACTGCTGAGCACCAGGGGACATGGGGGTGCCAGTGGCAGGTAGAGCAGCAGGACTCAGAGCCATCTCCATCACCTGCTGCTCCCTATGCACCCACAGCCAGGGACTTGCCCCACTTGGATGAAAAGAGCTCTGTCAGCGGGCACGCTTCTGGGCTCCTCTCGTGTGCCAGCTCCCCTTCTAGGAACCATGGGTACAGCTGTGAACAAGACAGGCCAGGTCTCTGCTCAGAGGGGGACAGACAGTAAACCGGGTGTGACCATTTCAGTGCTGTTGATTGCCGTGAGGCTTGTAAGACAGGGCTGCGTGTTTGAGGGTGACTCAGAGAGGGGTCCCTCCAGCTAGGGTCCTCAGGGAAGACCTCTTTGAGGAGGGGACATTGAGTTGAAAATGATGAGAAGGAGGTACCTATCAAAAGCCAAGGGAGAGTGTCACCCCAAGGGAGAGCTGTGCAAAGGCCCTGAGTGAGGGACCAACAAGGAGGCCAGTGTCGCAGGAGCAGGAAGTGAGGTCAGGGAGGAAAAAGGTGCAGCTCAGAGGGTCATCAGGAGTCTAACCGTGCCCAGTGTGGAAAGGGAGCTCGGCCGGGCTGTGCAGAGGGGAGAGGCCCAGTCTAACGGGGTGAAGAGAATTCTGCTGCTGTGTTGAGACAGCATTGCAGGCGGCCAGTCCGGTGGCTGGTGCAGAGAGCCAGGAGGGAGGGGCCTGGGCAGATGTGGTGGGCAGGTGGCAGAAGGGGTGGCTCCTGGAGAGATGTGGAAGGAGGTGGCAGAAGTTACTGGTGGGTCAGATGTGGGGTGGGAGAGGGGAGAGTCAAGGGCGCCCCCCTGATGTCTGGCTGAGCAATGGATGGTGTTGACTGGGTTGGGGAAGGCTTGGCAGGGAGTGGGTTTGGGGTTGGGTCAGGTCCAGCTTTGCACTTGATGCCGAGAGTGGTTTGGGTGTTAAGGGGGAGGAGGCGAGTGTGCAGTGGACGCTAGGTGGGAATCTGGAGTGGAGGCACATGGCACTGGGGTGTTGTCATCAAGTAGGTGGCACCTGAAACCATGGGGCAACGGGAGGTCACGGGGGGGGGGGAGATGGGGAGATGCAGGCCCTGGCCAGGCACTACAGCACAGGCAGTCAAGCACAGGGGCGGCCCTGAAGGAAGCTGAGGAGTGGCCGGCACGTCAGAGGAAAACTAGAGACATGAGGGGAAGAAAGGAGCTCGACGGCAGGTTGGTTACTGTGTCACGGTGCCATGGGGTCAAACAAGGTGAGGGCAGAGCTGCATCCCGTGCAGTGAGAGCGGATTGGGGGGCAGGGAGATGGACCCACCCTAGTGGGCCGAGGGGCTCCAGAGCTCGGGACCAGCCACTGCATGGAAGGCAATGGGACAGGCCCAGCCTCTTTGGCCGCTCTGTCCAGACCCTGCGGGGCCTCAGGCCAGTCCCGGCCCCAGTCAGAACCCCGGGCTCCAGGTCTCCAGGTCTGGCAGCAGGGTTTGCTCCAGAGCTGGAATTGCGCAGGGCTGCCACTTTCCCACCTGGACCCACGGCAGACATCGCTAATCAATCCCAGCTCACCCTCTCCTGCTCCCCCAGCCCTGGGTGGTGTCCCAAACCCAGGGCAGCCGACCCAACTGGTAGCTCTCGGAGTGATGCCCACTGGTAACCCGGGATCGGCTGACCTTGTAGGCCCTTTGTGGGTCTTTCCAGGGTGAGGATGGGGTTGTTTCCTGGGTGGCCCAGCAGTCTCTCTTGACACCTGCCCTGTCCCGCCAGGCACCGGCAGCGGCTCAGTATCCCATGCCATCATCCGCACCATTGCGCCCACGGGCCACCTGCACACAGTGGAGTTCCACCAGCAGCGGGCCGAGAAAGCACGGGAGGAGTTTCAGGAGCACCGCGTGGGCCGCTGGGTGACAGTGCGCAACCAGGACGTGTGCCGCAGCGGCTTTGGCGTGAGCCACGTGGCGGACGCTGTCTTCCTGGATATCCCGTCGCCTTGGGAGGCTGTGGGCCACGCCTGGGACGCCCTAAAGGTCGAAGGTACATCAAGGTTTCCGGGGGCAGTGTGGCCCTGGGGGCTGAGGTCCTGGGCCTGGTCCCGGCTCTGGGTCATCTGAAGCCCAGAGAGGTCAGAAACCACCAGGCCACGGAGTAGCTGTGGGCTGGCCAGGGGAGTCTCCGGGAGGTCATCTGGGGAGAGGGAGAGGATTGGAAATGGAGTCAGAATTGCAGAGAACTGGCTCCAGCTGGGCCCCTGCTCCTTGGCCCTGCCCACTCCCCCCCCCCCGAGGTGGGAGATGTCTGAGGCCCCTGGGGAACGTGGCAGCCCCGCATGAGTGAGAGGTGGGACCTGCGCCACGGGGCGTGGCAGAGGTCAGAGGTTGGGCAGGCCCTAACCCCAGCCTTCATTCCCTACAGAGTCTCCCCTCCTCCCCAGCCACAAACCAGGCGAGCCAGCCCCTTTTAGGGAAGATGCTGGGTGCAGAGGCGGGAACGTGGGCCCTGAGCCAGGGAGGCGCTGGCGAGGCCCTGGCTTTTTCCCTTTTCTGGAGAAGGAGTCAGCTCAGGCAGCCAGGCCTCTTCCCCCCTCCCAGCTGAGGATGCAGCGCGGAAGGAAGGGGAGCAGGCTGGGGTGCCGAGGGAGGGGCTGCCCATCTGAAGGACAGATGCTGAGGCCTGGCTCAGACAGCAAGGCGGTGGCAGGTGGGTCCTGGTGGGTCCCAGTAGGTCTCCTGACAGCTGGCTCAGGCTCAGCCCTGGACTCCGGTGTCCCTGGTCTCTGCTGAGGTTGCCTGGGGCTGGGGAGAGGGGGAAGCCCTGGCTTCCCCACATCCCCGCCGCTTCAGCTCTCCCCCCAGATACCTGTAGGCCCAGGCCCCAGTCCCAGGGAGGCCAGAGCTGGCTGCCCAGCCTTAGCCGAGCCCAGGCAGTCACACTCTGGGGCCTCCCCCTTGCTGCTGAGACTCCTTCCTCATGGCTGGCCCACAGGGAGCCACGCCATCTGTTGTCCCTGTCCCCTCTCCCCTGTGCCCTTCTAAGTCCCCTCCTTTGGGCCCTGTCCCCAGATCTGCTTGTTCTGGGCCCAGAGGCTCCCAGCTTGTTTGTGGGTTTGGCGTTTTCCAACGGCTGCCTGCCTGCTGTGGGAGCCCGGCCCAGGTGAGGTGTGGCCCCCGGGTTCTCTGGACCTTGGGCTGGCCAGCAGGCTCAGGCCCTCGCCTAGTGGGGCTTCAGTTTCCCCAGCAGTGTGCACAGGGGTTGGGTCCCCTCTTGGGGGTGACGCTGTCCCCTCTCTGAGTTGGCGTCAAGCTGCACACCCCTCCTCCAAGCCCAGACCTCCCCGCAGCCCTGCCTGGGGTTCTGTGTCCCTGGGTATGGCTGAGGGGACCAGGCCTCAGGGAAATTCAAGGACTTGCTACATCCCTTCCCCTGCTCTGGCTTCTCCACACCCTCCCCGCCAGGATGGGGACCTGGGCTGGCCCCGGGCCAGGCTGAGGGACGCTGTGGGTGGGCCCTGGTGGGAGGCAGCAGGAAGGGGCTGTCAGTTCCCACCCCCGCCCTGTCGTCCTTGGGGCATCGGGCTCCCCTCAGAGTAGGTACCTCATGTTCCCAGGAGCGGGCAACAGCCTCTAATTTCCTCTGACAGCAGCGGCCCCTGCCCACCCGTGAGCCTCTGTCCCTTGTGCCCACCCCCGCCCGGTGCTGCGCTGTCTAGTGAGAGCTGTCCTGGGCCCAGCACTCTCACCAGGCTGGGCTCTGCCGTACCAAGGCTCCGCCCTGACTCCCAACCCCACCGTTCACCCTGGCTCCTGACCCCTGACCCTTGGCTGCCTTGTGGAAGTCAGGATGGCAGTGCCTGCGGAGGCCACATGAGGTCAGGGTAGTGGGGTTGGCCCCGTGCCTGGGACATGCGAGGGCTTGGTCTGGGCAGCGCCTTCTACTTGGAGAGCTCCTGCCCTGTGGCCTCTGCCCGGCGCCTCTAACCTGGGGCCCCAGCTCTCCATGGCCCGAGGGCTTGGCCACCCCCGGACTGCAGGGCGGGGTCCAGGTAGCCACCCTCGTCACGCTCTCCCAGTGGGGTTTCTGTACCAACGTCTGCTCCTGCAGGGACGGGGTTGCCCACAGATACCTGGGCAGGAGGAGGCTGCCAGGGGTGGGCAGGCAGGGCTCGGGGGGTCCTGCGGCTCCCCTGCCCTCTGACACCCGTGTCCTGCTCCCCCACAGGTGGGCGCTTCTGCTCCTTTTCGCCATGCATCGAGCAGGTGCAGCGCACGTGCCAGGCGCTGGCGGCCCGTGGTTTCTCAGAGCTGAGCACCCTGGAGGTGCTGCCACAGGTGTATAATGTGCGCACCATCAGCCTGCCTGCACCCGACCTGGGAGCCAGCCCGGGCCCCGACGCCGGCCCCTTCCGCAGTGGCACGCCCATGAAGGAGGCCGTGGGCCACACCGGCTACCTGACCTTCGCCACCAAGTCCCCTGGCTAGCGGGCTGCCAGGAGCTCCAGGGAGCTGGGAGTGCTGTGGGGCCGGGCAGGGAGGCGCAGCTTGGCCAGAGGCCTCCTTATATGGTCAGCGGACGCCTGCCGGGGCCTGTGTTTAGAAACGGGGCCTGTGTTTAGAAAGGGACGGAAGGCAGGGCGGGGCTTGGGGGCCTCCTGGGTGGCTGAAGAGGGGCAGCCATCGTGGAGGAGCATTGGCAGGGCCCTTGGGGAGGGAGGCCTCCTGCCCGCGTCACCGCCGTGCTCAGTGTCCCCGTCCTGCTGTTGTTTGTTGCCACACGAAGTCTCCACCACCGTAGGCTTTTTTGAGTGTTGATGCCAAGGGGTGCAGGTGGCAGAGCCCAGCTCTGACCCCTTCCCAGGTGGCTCCAAGCCGAGGGCGGGGAGGGTAGCAAAGACTCAGAGAAGCAAGGCTGGGTGCTCGGTGCCGCGTCGGACCCCTGGACCCCGAGGCCCGGCTGCCCCACACAGTCTGTGGGCCAGCTTCTCCTTTCCCTCCCCGGTGCTGACGGGGCTAGGCCAGCCCAGCAGCTAGGGAGAGGCAACTCTGCTGGGCGGCCTCAGGCCTGACCCTACCCCATGGGCGCTGCACAGGCCACATGGGAGTGTCCCCCATCCACTCCTGTTGAAGGGGCAGGGGGCAGCCCCCGCCCACCCGCCTTGCTTCTCCCACGCCTGGGAAGTGCCTTCTGCAGCGTGACCCAGCCACAGCCCCCAACGTGTCACTAAGTGAGAACACACAGCGTCCCGTAGAGAGGAGCCTGAGGAGGACGGTGACATGCTTCAGGTGACCTGGCCCGTCCCTGCAAGAGCTGTTTGGACCCCAGCTCTCCAACCCCAGAGCTATTTGGATGTCTCTGCCCCTCGTAGGAACACTGGGGTTATGGGGGCACAGAGGTGCATCCAGGACAGAGGGCAAGATGCCGGAGCTGAGGGCACTTGTCCCCTGCCCTGCCTGGCCTGGTCTCCAGCTCTGTGGTGTGCAGCTGGCATCCCTGCCTGCCACTGGTGCATGAAGGGCCTGTGTGTCTGCCCTTGGCCTCAGCCGGCTTTCAGGAGCCCCAGTTTTCCCATGTCAGGACAAGAGCCCCAAGGTACCTTGCTGGCATGGGGCTGGCCCCTGACCATGCCTGGCGGAGAAATAAATGCTGTTGCCCCCGCCATGCTGACTAGTCTTCCTGGTGCCCCATGAGGCCAGACCCCCGCTCCCCCCACCAGTGTCCAGGCCGGACTTCCCTGCACGCAGCCCTCCTGACCCCTGCCCCTTCCTCTCCCTGTCCCAGGCCAGGCACCACAGCAGCTCTGGACTCCAGGACAATGGCCTGGGATGTGGTGGACAAAGGGACAAGTGTGTAACCACCCCCACCCGGCTGCAGAAAGGTCCACTTGTCCTTGGGGGTAGGGGGAGGTCCGTGTGTGTGTCTGTCAGTCCCAGAGCGCTGGGCCCTCCCCCCATGGCCTGGCCTGGCCTGGAGTTCCCAGCATGGGCGCCTGGGCTGCCTCTGCCTCTCGTGCTCCCTAACTGGCCCAGAACTCAAGAAGGACCCCCAGGCCTGCCATCCTGGCCCAAGGCCCCCACCTGGGCCTTTGGGTCCTTGAAGGGATACCGAGTGAGGTAGGTCTGCAGGAGCACCAGTCTCTTGGTGGCAGTGTCACAGGGCTGGGAGCCTCCCCTCTCCCATCTCCTTCCGCACAGCCTCCTGGCGAGACCTGTGCCCCCTCTAGTCCCTCAGGGTCCGTCGAACCACTAGCCCTTCTCTGTGCGTCTTGTCCCCCCTTCCAGAACCTGTCCTGACCTCTGACCAGCTGTCTAGGTTACGGGACAGAGGAGGGACCTGGGCATCACCCTGGCCTTAGGGAAAGGCCTGCAGGTTCTGATGCGGGGCGCAGCTCTCCGTCGTCTACCGAGCACACAGGCCCCAGGAATGCAGGCCTGGGCTGGGACCTATTTTCCAGATGGGCCTGCACTTGGGTCTGTGTGAGCTGGAGGGGTGGTGGGAAAGCCCTTCCACCCCAGGATGGGTGACTGGGTGGCGGGCCACCAGGTTAGGCATCAGGAAACCTGGATCCCTGTCCCTGCTCACAGTTTCACCCGGCACAGAGCTGCCCTCTTGAATCTGGGTGGCCCTTCAGCCCCTCGTCTGTGCTGCTGGGCCCTGCACACGAGTCCCTGTGCCTCCGCTGGACCTCTGGGCACCAATCCTACCCCAGATAGCCATCCAGGCTGAGCTCGGCCTCAACCTGGAGCCCCACCTGGCCCTGGGCCAGCAGTGAACTCTTGTGCATCCTTCAAGGCCCCACTCAAATGTCTCTCAGTGCCTCCCACCGCCCACCCCCAGACAGGAGCATCCTGTTCAACCATCTTCTGCTCCCACATGTTCCATGCTGGATTACACCCCATGCTGGATGACAGCAATTGCTCCTGCAGAGCTGCCCCCGGCCTGGGAGCTCCTACACACAGGAGCAGAAGCCAAGCGGCTCCCCAGTTCTGCAGATGGGGAGCCTGATGCCCAGAGAGGCAGGGCCAGGGCCCACGGTGAGTGGACCAATGAGCAGGTCGGTGACAATCACCTCCTGAGTCAGCAGCCTGGGGCCGGTCACAGGGCAAGGACTCAGCCTGGAACTCCCCACTGGCCCCAGACACTCACCTCTGGCCCTCAGTTTTTCCTAGGAAGTGCCCGCACCCTGCCCCTGCCCCGCCCCCGGCCCCAGGAGCGAGACGTGACACATCTAACGCTCTGCAGCTGCCCCAGCTCCCACGTCTGAGCCCCAGAAGGTGAACTGCTCAGAGGGGCCCAGGCCAGGACCCCACCCTAGGGCCGGGATTAGAGTCTGCCTCCCCCAGGAAGCCCCCTGGGCCTTGCCTCAGCTCCAGTGTGTGCTGCTCCCGGCCTCGCTTTGCTTCGTCCTCACCCGCCTCTCAGGGGCTCACCCCCTCCACGGGAGTCCCTTGGGGCAGGGGCCGGCCCTGTGCCCAACCTGGGGCAGCGTGGGTTCAGGACGCAGAGTGGGTTTTGATACACAAGGGATGCCAGGTCGCTGGGGGCCACTCTCTGTCTAGCTGAGTGTGACAAGGAGGGATTGTCGCCCCGCGAGGACATCAGGGAAGGGGAGGGGGAGGAGAGCTTCCCCACCCCTGACCCCCTCACCGCTGCGGTCCAAGTCTGCTGCTTCTTTCCTTTCTTGGCCTCCATTGCCTTCCTGTTCTCCCAGGGATGCCGGCTCTCCTGCCTCCAGCCTGTGTGCTGGTGCGGGCAGGCTTCGTGACCCAGGGATCCAGGCTTCGTGGCCGAGGGAGATGCTGCTGCTTCTACCCCACCCCAGGCCATTGCACACATGGGAAAACTGAGGCCCAGAGGAGACGAGACTCGCTGGGATCCAGGGCTCCTACCTCTGCCTGCCCACCAGGACCTCCCGTATCACACAGTCTCCCACCTGGCATGGTCCCCTTACGTGCGACCAAAGAGGCCAAAGGGGAGAGAGATTTCTGCTATAGTCGTGGAAGGCTCCTCAGAAGAGGTGAAGGCCCAGCAGGGTCTGGAAGGGCTGATGGAAATTGAAGGAGGGTGAGCTGGAGGCCTTCCCAGGTGAGAGTGGGCAGGCCTCGGGCAGGAGACCCTCAGGCAGGCCCTGAGAAGGCGATGGAAAGGCCCGATTAGATGCAGAGACAGCATCCCTGCGACCTCCTGGGCTGGTAACTGCCTGTCCTGTCTGCAGGGCTGCTGGACGCACCCGGACCCAGAGCCCCACCCTGCCCAGGGGCTGATGGGCTCACGTGCCAGTCTGGGGGTGTCCCTGCCTCCTCTTGAGAGGGTCCCCAGGGGCAGCCTTGCTGGAGGGCCTGGTTTCTGATGCCCCCAGGAAGGAGGTGCAGGTGGGGGCTCATGGTGCCAATCCTCAACTCTACCCTCTTCGCCAACCTCAGGGGGTGCTCTCATCCACAGATGTGGGCTGAACACCTGCCGTGTGCCCCACCCTCCTCGCACCGGGGTCACAGACATTCAGGGCAGCCCAGCCTGTGCTCGAGGGGCTCCCGGGAACGTGGCACAGACGGTACGGGTGAGAAGTGCACAGTGGGAGCAAAGCAAGGGAAGGGGTTGAACCCTGTGCTGGGGGTCAGGAAGGCTTCGCTGGGATGTGGCCCCTGCCACATAAGGATAAGGAATTTGGCCTTGATCCTGCGGGTCTGCCCTCGGGAAGGATGTGAGCACTTAAGGGCTCAGGCTCTGGGCCAGCCTGGGTCACATCCTCCCTCTGGTGCTGCGGTGACATGACGTGTGCCTTCCCTTTCTCTTGCAGAGATAAGAACACAGGGCCTGCCTGGGGGCGGGGGCAGGGAGGGGACTGTGTGAGATTAAGTATCATGTTGACCTTTGCACGGTCAGTGCTCACAGACCGTCTCTATGGTTATTATCATTAGTGGGAGCTGGGGCTGCCGCCGCCACCAGGAAGCCCCCCCATTCTCTCAGATTCCAACCAAGGCCAGAATTTGGGGGCCACTTCCAGGTTCATCTGAGAAATGTCCTTTGCACTTTGAGCCACTTGAATAGCTTTTTGCACCTTCAGAGGTGCTTGAATAGTTTATCAGGATAATGGGAGAGAAGATTTGACATTGAGACTTTTTTGGAAAATCCAGGTCATCCCGTCACGGTGCTTATAGTTGTGTAATAACACCAAAAACTGGGAGAACATTAGGCTGGGCGTGGGCAGACGGCACTTCAGTTGACCTCCACAGCTTTCAAGGTAGGTGTATCAGTTAGCTGTCACCACAGATGTGCTGCATAACAAATACTCCCCTCCCCCGTAAATACTCCTCCCCGGCAAAAAAAAAAAAACTCAGAGGCTGAAAGCAGCAGTCAGTTCCTCTCTCGGATCTGTGGTCTGGCTGCTCCTGGCCGCCCTCAGCTGGGCTTGATGTGTGGGGGCTGAGCCCGTGTAAACATAGCTCTGCCCCTGCTTCTCCCCTTCCTCCTGGGACCATGGCCTGGCCTGTGCATGCTCTTCTCAGGCCCAGTAGGGGCAAGCCTGGTCATGCAGGCACTTTTTAAGCCTTTAGTCACATGGCCTAACCTCAAGTCGGGTGGAGAGAGAGACTGCAATTTTAGGGGAGGAGCTGCATGGCCGCAGGCAGAGGGTGTGGGTGTGGGAGCAGGGCCTTCTCTGCCCCCATGGGCACCGTGCACAGTGGGTCCCTCGTGAGCAGGGAGCGGGACTGTGGGGACCCGCCAGCCTAGCCCGCCCTCCCCATGCTGTATGTCTGTGCCCAGGCTGCCAGGACGAGGGCATTTCAAAGTCAGGCTGCCTCCGAGCGGCAGCGTTGGCGGGAGGGAATAACTCGGCTCCCACCAGGCTGAGAATAGCTCCGAATTGGGTCACGCTCACCATAGAGCTCCGGTCACAGCCTTCAGGCTTGGACAATAATCAGCTTTCTCCCCGACATCTG